TTCGTGGCACCAGAGAGACTGCTTGTCAGGTTCTCCATGGACTTGGTCACTCTGTCATCTGAGAGCCACTGAAACCCTGCTCAGACTTTTCTTCCTCCGTGAAGGTGAGGCAGGAGCAGAACCTGGCCTCAGACCACCTCAAGTTGTCACTGTCTCCTCGTGGTCACTTAGAACCCAGGCCTTTCTTTCAGTCGGGGGCCTTCCTTCTCCTGCAGAGTCCTCGGGGCCTCACCCTGGCCCTCAGCCATTCGCTTACAAGCAGGATTTTTCAAATTAGAGGAAGAAATACACCTTGCCAGTCTTCTCTCTGTTTTAATTATACTGTAAGAGAAAAATCCCTCACAAAATCAAACAAACTGGAAGCCAAAGGCAAAGAGGTTTTCATTAGTAAAAACTTAAATACTCTGATATTTCAGCATAGGATAATATGCTGCCATTTTTTTTCCCCCAAAGTGAACTTACTATTTTTCTTGATTATAAAAATAATACATTTTTATTGTAAAAATTCAGGAAAAAGAGAAAAGTTTAAAAATCACACAATAAGCTCACAGTCCAAGTTAATTTTGATTCACAGTTTTTATCATTCTCACTTTCTCTGCATATATACATATATGGATTTTTTTTAATATCTATAGTGAGATTGAGCAAATCTTGATTTTAAAAGTGCTTTTTTCACTTCAGTTATCCAACTGTGTTACAGTGCACTCTCTCGGGGGTTCCAAAAGTCTTTGAGATTTGATACAATGCGGGCATTGCTTTGGTATTAAAAATATTTTGTGCAAGGAGCTTGCTCCTTATTTTGATAAAAACTTACAGCACGCTGGTAAAGGTGTGTCACGGAGTCAGAAGTCCTGGGCTCAGATCCCATCTCCTCCCTGGACGTGTTACTCAACCTCTCTGTGCCTCGGTTTTGTCACCAGTAAAGTGGGAGTGCTCGTAGTGCCTGAAAGTTTCACGGGTGTTCAGGTGTGTGGGCTAAATGCCTCCCAAGTGCTTAAAACTACCTGCCATAAGTAAGGGCCATGTAAGCGTTCATAATACCATTGTTATTAAAGTCACATAGCCAGCTTGAATGACTGTGATTTGAACTGTGTTATGTTTAAATCCACTAACAACCCACGTAACTGTCACTTGCTTATGTGTTGTTCTAATGCTTGGGAGACCGCACTGCCGCCGGCCACAACCACCATCATCACCATCATTATGTCATCTACTCTTGCTTACACAGAGCCCGCACAGGAAGTGTCCTGAAAGTCTGAAGGAATGTTCTAGAAGTGTGTTTCGGGACCTCAGGGGAAAGATTTCTTGCCCACTGCCTTGGGTAACTGGGTAGCTCTTGTGAAGAAGTGGCTGAATTCTCAGCATCCTACCATCAACCAAAATACAACCCAGATAGGATGAAAGCAGTAGCAGACTAGAAGCAAATACACTCAAGTCTGTTTTAAATGCTCAGATCTGAGGACGGCATTTCTAAGCACGAGCTTAAAGCCATAAAACTTTTTAAAAAAACTGATGGGCTTAAAAAAAATTGATAGACTTCACATAAAAATACGTATTTTTCTCTTGTGATAAAACAAAATTTAAAATTCTGTCCTGCAGTAGAATGCTGTTAACAAAAGCCTGTGTTAGAATGGCTCCTCCGATGTTCATCTATGAATTTACTGATAAAGTTGGGAGAAGGTCCTCAGATCTCTCTCCTCCAGTGGTCATCCTAGCGGGCACATTGATTTACTAATTAGGCTGTGATTTCACCTTATTGGCAGTGAAAGTGGCATCTGCCTGTCCTGCTGGGTAATCCAGCCTGGTACCCGAGGGGGGTTATTCAGCCTTCACTACAAGGGAGTTCCCTGTGGCTAGATAAACTGATCTGTTGCTTGGTAACTACAGGATTACTCCGGTGGATGCTCAGGACGCCCATTTGAGAGGGGTTTGGGTATCTGGAGGGCAAGGAGGGCAAGAAAGTTGGCAAGTTTCTGAGAGGACTGCAGCTTGGCAGGAGGAAGAACCAAGGCCACATGTGCCCGTGGCGGGCATGGGTTTATAGTGTTTCATCTTCCCATCTGTACTTTGCCTGTTTCAGCACTGGGACCAGAACAAAGGGAAAGCAGGGAGTGAGCTGGCCAAGGGAAAGGTGGGTCCCATCGGGGTGGCTGCAGGGTTGACCCCAAGGTTGTTCCCCCTGAGGACAAGGTCTGAGTCTGGAAAGTGTGACCCTGCTTGCTCTCTGGACCGCCACTCGGGGTTTGAGTTTGAGTCCCAAGTCAAAAGCCCGTTGACTAGAGTAAAATCATAGAATGGCTAGGAAAATTTGAGACCGTAACCTCAAGGCAAGGAGGACCATCTAACAGCATCCTCTACCGCACTGTGGACTTGAAGACCCTTCATAAATATTCCTGTTCAGTGGCGCAGCACACCCACCAGAGGTTACCTTCCCGGCCCCAGACCTGGCTGAATTTGGGAAGGGACAGATTTTGCGTGACTTGGAGGCAGACCGAGTGGTGTGTGTGTGCGTGTGCACAACAGTGTGTTGCATACCTTTGTGCGGCCTTTTGTGCCGTGTCCTCCGCTCTGCCTGGTGGGGTGGCGGGCTCAGCCCCAGGCGGCCCCCGCGCTCCGGGCGCCTTGCAGGCAGTCGGCCTGCCAGTCGCCCAGATGCGACTCTGGTGATTTACTCTGCATTACTGGTGGCAGGAGTCGTCATTGAAGTGGTGGCTCTTCTGCCAGGGAGGATATTTTGACTGAAATTTTGCATATTTTGAAACTCGGGTTGTTACGCTTAAAATTATACATGTTGTGAGTACCAGGCTTCAAACAAGGCGGGGAGAAGCAGCATTCCTTCCTGTCAGAACCTTCTCACTCTGTCTGTCACGTCGCCCGACTAAAAATAAACTACAAGCCCCAGAACTGGCAGCCTTCCTTTGGAGCAGGTTTGCTGTGTTCACTGCAGGCCTGTCGCTTCCCCGCCACACGTGGGCCCCCGAGGTGCGGACCTTCGCCCGGGACATGGGCGCACAGAGTCCACAGGGCAGCGTCCTGCTCTTTACGAAAGGGTGAGGTGATCACAGAGCACCGGCCCCGCTGCCAGGGCTCCAGAGTCGGTCCTGGCTCCTGTGTGGCCTGGGGGCAGTCGCTTGGCATCTCTGGACTCCAGCTGCCTCGTGTGTAGCTGTGATTGCCTGCAGCCCCCGTGCCAGCCGCCAGCCTCTGTGTCTTGTTCCCTTTTTACAAAGCCTCGTGAGTGTCGTTCTGAGTGGCATCCCCATTTTCCAGATGAGAAAGCCCAAGTCACAGACGGGTCCGTGTCCTGCATCCCTGGCCCCAGCAGCTCCTCCCCCCTCAGTTGTCCTCTCTCCCTTCTCTCCTCACTCTGTCATCTGGCCTCCACCCCACCATCGTCCCACCAGAACAGTCCTGTGAGACCATGAAGGGCTCTTCTGGGTCAAACCATGGTCACTTGTCAGCCTTGACCCTGCTGGACCTTCCTGTCCCCTCCATTGTCCATCTGGGACTGGCAGCCCAGGGGGAAGAGCTCGGCCGTGTCCGTCCGCGCTCTGTTCGCACCTGGGCTTCTGCTCTGAGGGTGGGCTTGGGGAGGTTACCTCCCCTCTTCCAGGCTTTGTTTCCTCGTCTGTAAAGTGAGACGGTGATCACACGTACCTCATCGAGGGAAGGGCACGTGAGATGACGTAGAACCCAGACAGTGCTTCCCTGTGTACCTGTGGTCTCACGAAGTCCCTGTCCTGTACACGTGCTCTTGCTACAAATGTCCGGCCCTTGATTATCGGCCCTGTTACCCGCTTGCCCCAGATCTTTTCCCCAGCGCAGGATGACTTTGCAGTTCTCCCTCTTTGTCACAGCAGAATCCACTGTGTGACTGACGGAGCCCTGGCCCCGCTGTCACTTGCACCCCACCCTCTGCAGGTGAGTTTGAAGAGACGAGGTAGCTTTAACCTGGTTATGATGGGGTCCCTTCCATAATCAGTACAATAGCACAGATTCGTCCTGGTTTAATTCCTGGGCTTCAGAGGAGTTCTGTTATATTTGCTTCTAGTCCAGTTTATCCTCTGATTTTTACAGCAAAGAAAATGCTGTAAATATAAGTAGCAGAGGGTAACATCTGCCTTTTGCAAGAAGCCAAGACTGCCACGTCGGGCGGCGTAGCAAGATGAATTCAGTGGTAACCACTCTGCTGTTTGGTGAAAATCCTGTCTCAGGAAACGTTGTTTTACCCTTCAATTTTCATAATCATTTTTCCTGTGTCCCGCGCTGAACTTCTACAAATTTCCCCCTCTGATCTTCTGATCAAATAAATGATAAGGCCGCTGTCTTTTGAAAACAGCTGCTGGGATTCATCACCTGAAATTGATTTTCAGCCCTTGGCGGCTCCCGGGTGGGCTGGGGCAGGGAGGCCCTCCCTCCGCCCCCGGGGCTGTGGTCTGTCCCGGGTGCCAGTGCTGACGTCTCCCCAAGCGTTCCTGGGTCTGGGTTTTGCGGGGGTAGGAAGTAATTTACAAGGGTCTCTTCAGCCAGTGAAGAGGTGTCTGCGGCTGACGCCCCCACCCACCGTGGCCGCCAGGTCCCCAGGAGGAGGCTGATTGCCTTGAACTGCAGGGGGGTCTCCAGGAGCCTCGGCTCAGTGTTGCCGAGTTCCAAGGCGGGTTTCTCCCCCATCCTTTCGCAAACTGCTGTATCACACACCTCGTTTGCCATCAGAGTACGAGTGTGTTTCATTCTTTTTTTCCCCATGAAAACAACACAGAACAAAGCCTCACTTTTAAAAATGCCATGGTATTTTGCCACCGTTATGAAAATCTGTCAGCACCGTATCTAATCTTCTTGTGCATAGAATATCAAAACATCGCTATTGAAGGGGCTGCACTTCTGTTAATGCAAAAATGTCAGTTCCACAGCCTCGGAACCAGCTGCTCACAGCCGCTTCCAAATGGGAAAGAAAAAAATAATAAAGTTTTCTTTCCTCCTCTGCTGCTATTGTTCTTCAGGCCCGACCTTCAGAGGAGGACCCAGAGCAGACACCGCCTCGCTGAAATCTTGCGCTCAGAATACTCAAGTGGGATGGAGACCAGCGTCGCCAAGGTCAAAAAGCAAAGCGAGTGCGCGGGGCCGGGCAGCCAGCGCCCAGCCTCGGCCGTGGGAAAAAAGCAAGCCCAAAAGCCTCACGGAGGGACTGCGAGACTTCCCAGGAAGTATTTGTAAACTCTGCGTCCACAGGACGGGGCCTGAGTGGATCCCGGAGCTGGCGTCCTGTTCTCGTCTGAGCGGCCTTGTGGGAACTAACAGTGTGGCCTTCCCCGCTGACTCGTCCCTGAGACTGAGCACAGCCCAGAGCAGGGCTGGGGGTCAGCACAGGCCGGATTAGCTGAGCAGCCTGTCTTGTATTTACTCCATCAAGGCAAGACGCTCAGCGACACCCAGAGATCGCATGGTGCCCCCACGACTTAACGTGAAAACCTAGGGTCCTGCGAGCCAGCCAGGGACTTGACCCTGCCTGTGACGATGTTCTGTAAAGCATCCCAGTTTACTTTAACCTGCCCTCTCAACACCTCTGTTGGCAGGAAATAGGGTTTTTAAAACTAGAATTGACTCTGTAAAGAAAGAGAAAAAACTCTTTATCCGATCATTTTCTTGATGCACAAATGCTTTATTAAAAAGGACCACAGGAGTGTTCGGTGCGGGTCAGAAGCGACGCCAGGGTGCCCTGCTTTCCGCCCGCAGGCTGTTCGGAGCCCCCTGTCACGTTCACACGCCTTGCGCTCTCCTTCTGGTCCAGGGAGAACACACTTTCTCAGGACAGTTGATTTACTGTTGCTTTTTTATTATTTGCCTTCGAAGACCAGAGGCATCAGTGTCCTGAGCGTTTTCTCCGCTCGAATCCCATCTTGTCTTTGAAAAAGGTCTGGGGTCCGGCCTGTGGCCAGGCTGCAGCGGCCCCTCCCCCATTTTGTTTTCTGCGAGGTTTGAAAGAGGACCCCCGGGGCATATTGATTTCCCAATAAATGTAAGATTTGGACACGGGTAACTCCAGAGGGGTCCAAAGGAGAAGAGAGTAAAAGCCTGACCCTCTCCGTCCATCCGTCTGTCTGTTCTTTTCTCTCCACTTTTCCTCCTGTTATCCATTTAAAAATCCAGCCTCCTCCTCCTCTGAAGTTACTGGCACAGGGGTGGAGGCCCCGCTTCAGTAGCCCCTCCAGCTCCACACGAACTGAAGGGAGGGAGAGGATCTCGAGAGTTGTCGGGGCGTCCTTCCCTCCATCCCTGTCTGGTAGCCGCAGCCAGCCATCAGACGTAAGTGAACTTCAGCTGAGGACTCGTGAGGTTTAGCGTGAGCCTGGAAGCACTGGTCCTCTGCAGGAGGGAAAAAGTGACCTCTCAGAGCCGGCTATCACACAGAAATTAATAGGGGCAGTTGATGAAATCTGTAACAATAATAATAAATAAACCTGTAGCACATGTCATACTGACTTTGGGCAAATCTGCCTCCTTATATTTTGATGTGTGATGGTCCACACGATTTGGATGAGAAAAGGAGGGATCAAACTTTATAAAGACAACCCAGCCTTGTGAGAAACAGGATTAACGCCAGTGATGGGGGTGATCAAAGAGAAACCCTACTCTCCCCTCCCCCTCATAGTACTCATTCCATTAAAGGGTGAATCCACAGAGTTCGGCATTCCTCGGGGGAGAAGTGCCAGAAGCTTGCAAGGCATGTAAGTGACTATAATTCTGCGATGGAAACTTACACTTAATTTGCTACCACTGAGGTGAGGGTTTCTTGCCATAGATGTTATGTGGGTCTGTTTCTAAGCAGAATCAATATATTACCCCCAGTTAATAAAGAAATATGGATTTAGCAGATTTAGGGTTAATATTAACTAAATTTAAATAACCTTAAAATAAATCTCTTTCTTATTATGGCTCTTGACAGATTATACATTTCAGGCATCAATTAGGCAAAGCTTTAGCCTAATTCCACTGTACATATTCTAATTTTGTGTGTCTTTCTAATCGAGCCTCTCCTGATTTCCCAAACTTACCTCTTTCTCTGTGTCACAAGCCTGATCCTCACATTTAAGTCACAGAGAACTGGGGCATTTCATGGAATGTTGCAGCCAAAAGCGTTTTGCCCTCGTGGGCTTGTAAAATGCTTTTTTTTTTAGTCCCAGACATCTTCATGTCTGCAGTCCTCAGTGGCTGCACATCTTCAGAGGGGCCCCCATTCTCACGCACCGAAGGGCAAAGAGCCCTTGGTGAGTGATTAAGGCAGCGCTGATGCAATGCAAACAGCATTTTCCACTCTTAGAAGAGCAGAGCCAACCAGATCTCAGCAAAGGACATTTTGACAAAGCCTGGTTCCTTTGATTTTTTTTCCCCTGTAGCGAAGGGAGGCAAGATTTAGGGAAGAGAGGGGAGTAAATGAGCACCCCTTAAGGCAGGTGTTCCCAAACTGCTATGCCCTCTCTACTTAGCCCTTCAGCCCCTCAACGGAAAGTCAGCAGAAGCCATTAAAATCCAAATACCGCTTCCAGGAGGCAGAAATTTAAGGCTTTTTTCCACTGGAGAAGTTGCCCTGCTTGCAAAGGGCGCTTCACGGGTCTTGTTAAATTGCCTGCATGACCATTACACCTTATCTCTTAATCTGCTCCGTCGGAGGAAAAATTTAGAGCAAAGCCTGTCCAAGTGGGGGCAGTGAGGCACCCGGAAAATCAGCTCGACTTCTTAAAAATGTCCAGAAGCCTTGCAGGGAGGCCCGTCGGGGAATCTAGACTTCTTTTCAACTTTGTTGCCCCGTTGAGTCTAGGCTTATAAGGAGGGTGGGGGTGGGTCATTGGAGCAGCAGAGGGGACGCCCTTCTGGGCGCCCCTCCTATTGTTCTGCACTCTGGGGGTCTCACACATGCATTTTTGTTTTTCCTTTCTCCAATGAGAGTTCCCCCAGCCCCAGGGTTGGGAACAGAGAAACCAATTTAGCCTTCTAAATGGATGAAAAGCATCCTCACTGCCAAGGTTGTAAAGTTATTATTACAGATGGCAAGTGCAGGACAATTTAAAATATTGTAATTATAAACTTGTAGGGAGGCCTTGTTCTTCATTAATGTAAGATATGAAATCGCCTCCGAGGAACAAGGACAATTACATAGTTGAGAATGTGTCGGTGATTTACACTGCCGCTGTGTAAATGTAAGGGTGGTTCTCCAGCCTACCTCCTTCTCTCTCACAAAATGAAAAGCACACCAGTGCAAGTTGTCCTTTGATAGATTTTTAATATGATTTTAAAGAGTTTTGTTTGGTCTCATTCTTATTCAATGAGATTAATTTAAAGCACTTATCCCCTGGGTTTAAGTCAATCCATGTAGGATTTGGGCAGGGTTTGTTGCACTGGGGGGTTTTGTTTGCAGGAGGCTATGAGAGACTCCTTTCCCACTTCATTAACCCTGGGTTGGGGACAGTCTCCCCCTCAACCCCCACCACAGCCGGAGTTGGGGATTTACCGGCCCCCATTCACATGCAAAAGAACTTGAAAGCCGAGGGAGCTCCTAGACTTAATCAGCTGCTGTGCATTTTGCAAAATTAGAATAATACCCTCACCATCCCAAGAAAGAAAAACGAGGTGTGAGAGTATTGGGGGCCGGGGAGGAAACAGTAGCAGGGTCCAGGGTGGGGGGAGTTAAGAGTTTAAACATAAGCCCACCTCTCCTTCACCAGGCAGCCCTCTTCCAGAGCAACCCTGCCGCAAAACGGGGTGGGGGGCTTCAGCTTGCTGAGCCCCCAAACTTCCCAGCCCTGGGCGTGTCCTGGGAGTTCGAGCTGCAGGTGGTGTGTGGGAGGGGAGCACCTGAGCCCACCTCCCCAGAGAGGGACAGCCTCCGGAGGTGACCTTGGCTCTCCGTGAACGGGAGCCTGGAGTCTGGCTGGAAACTTAAACCCCTCCCCTGAGACCCTGGGGCCGCAGGCTGGGGCTCCGCGGCAGACGCTGGGGTTTGGCTCCCCTCTGGGTCTCACCCCCAGCGTCCTCCGTGGGTGAAAGGAGAAGTGAGAAGATGCGGGAGTCGGGGTTACCCTGCGAGGCGTCAGGTTCCCAGCGAAGGTTCTTCGCGTCTTACCCGGCGC